ACGGGGGGCCAAAAAAAAAAGTGGCAGTGCAGTTTTTAAACTGAATATTTGGGGAAAGCCAACAGGAGATGAAAAGTCTCTGGTTCAGGATGGCTCATCTCAAAGAGATGAAGGGGTAGCTGTTTCTTTTCTACAAGGAAATAGATTAGAATTGTCCACTGAGACTGTGGCTATCGATATGGACTGCCTGGCAAGGTCTGGAGGCAGCAAGAGGAAGGTTGTGGGCTTAACATGCATGGGAAACTATAGGTGTTTATGCACAAATGCTAGAAGTGTCCAAGATAAAATTGGGGAATTGGAATGCTTGGTGTTGGGGGGATGTCAAGACCCAGTCCTTCTGTCTCAGTGCTACCACCCACTCTCAGGGCTACCACACAGACACCAGGGTATATCTCTTTAAGCCAGGGTCATTCTAAACAGCATAGTAGAAGCAATAAAAAAATAGAGGTTCGTGGTTTTTAAACTCTAATTGGTAGCGTAGGTGTGGTACATGGGTTAGTGACTCAGTCCGAATTATAAAAACAGGTTAAGTTTATTACAAAAGCAATAAAACAATAAAATACATTGGTAAGGGGAAAAGGGAGTGTACAAGGACAAAACAAAGAAACAAAACCTAACTCACTATCTATGTTACTAGACCTGAGCTGATAGCTCTAAGCAGCAGTAGTTCAAGGAGCAGAGCTGGTGCCAAGGAATTAGCCGTTCCTCCCCAACGGCCCTCAAGTCAAGGTCGCTGTCCATCTTACCCGATGCTCTGCCTGGAAGGGTGTATGGAATCCTCCTGCAAAACTCCTGGCTTCCCACTCCTGAATTGTTCTGAGCAGATGCAGCATTCTTGCCTTGAAAGCTTTCTTTCTGGTTTCTGGCAACCAACTTGTGGCAACAAGCCACGAGTAGCCTAACCTTTGCTGTGCCTGGCTCCCAGCTAAATAGTCATTCAGCTGTCAAACTAATTGATAAACCAACCAGTGGTCTACACATGGTGATCTACATCAGAAGTTGTCAAAGATCTCTTAGTCAAGCTAAGGTTTTGACAGCTAACAGCTGCATGAAGTTACAGCAGCTGGTAATTAGTAGCAGGTGGTCTGTATCTGGCTAACCTGCCATCCTAACAACATCCTGATAATACTTAAACTATCTAACTTACTGATTCATGCAATTATTTACATCTCTTAAAGGCCTATCTGTGTCGTAATAGGTGATTTAACTACCCACACATTGATTGGGTCAATATGTGTTCAAGTCGGGAAAAAGAGATTGAGTTTCTAGACACTCTTAATGATTGTGCTATGGAACAGATGGTCACAGAACCTACCAGGGGAGAGGCAATCCTGGATTTGTTCCTAAGTAATGGCCAAGACCTGGTGAGAGATGTAAAAGTGATTGCACCACTTGGGAATAGTGACCATAATGTTATTCAGTTTAACATGTGTATAAATAGGGAGTTGCCCAAAAAGACTGACACAACCACTTTTAACTTTAAAAGGGGTAAGTTCTCTGATATGAGGGGACATGTGAGGAAGAAACTGAAAGGAAAAGTAGAAATGGTCGAAACCATTGGAGAAGCTTGGAGACTGTTTAAAACTGCAAACCTAGAAGCTCAGAAAAATATATACCGCAGGTTAGGAAAGGCACAAATAGGTATAGAAAAAAGCCTGCATGGTTAACAAACAAAGTAATGGAAGCTGTAAAAGGTAAGAAGAATTCCTTTAAGTGGTGGAAAGCTAGTCTCAGTGATGTTGATAAAAGGGAACACAGGATGTGGCAAATAAAATGTAAGTCTGTGATCAGGCAGGCAAAAAAGGAATATGAGGAGCATATAGCAAAAAACGTAAAGACCAACAATAAAACTTTCTTCAAATACATTAGAAGCAGGAAACCAGCCAGGGAGGCAGTGGGGCCCTTGGATGATGAAGGGGTTAAAGGAGTACAGAAGGATGATAGGGAAATGGCTGAGAAGCTGAATACATTTTTTGCCTCTGTCTTCACTGTGGAAGATGAGAAGTGCTTGCCCACTCCAGAACCGGGTGTTGAAAGACTTAAGTCAGATTGAGGTGATGAGAGAGGAGGTCCTACGACTGATAGACAACTTAAAAACTGATAAATCACCAGGCCCGGATGGCATACATCCGAGAGTTCTGAAAGAACTCAAATGTGAACTTGTGGATCTCCTTACAAAAATATGTAACCTTTCATTAAAATCTGCCATTCCTGAGGTTGGTTAGGCTGAAATATGTGACTGGTCCAAAATCATGCAGTCAGCTTCCACTACAAGATGGGGATCTGAACCTAGGTCTTGCAGACCCTACTTTGAAGCTCTAACTGCTGCACCTCACTGGCTTTCATAGGGTGGCTGATGAATGGTAGCAAGCAGCTGAGGCTAGGTGAGTCATGCAGATCAGGGGAGACCTGGCAACCCTAGACTACTGCCAGGCCTAGAGTTGCCAACCTCCAAATGGGACCTGGAGACCCCCCAGAATTACAACTGGACTCTAGACAGCAGAGGTTTGTCTCCCTGCAGAAAATGGCTGCTTTGGAGGGTGGACTGGCATTATGCCCAACTGAGGCCTCTCCCTTCCCAAGCCCAGTCCTCCTTAGAGTCCACCAGAAAATCTCTAGAAATCCCCCAGCCTGGCACTGGCAACTCTTGTGAGGCCTGGCCCCAAGGCTCCCTCCCTCCCTGCCTGAAAGGCCAAAATAGGCCTGGAAAGGGCCCTTCCCCCACCCTTTTACTGACAGAGCCAGTTAGGAAACACCCCCCCCGAACATTCTAATCTCTCACTGTTGATGCCTGAAGCAGATCCCTGCAGAGGCCATTTCAAAAGGTTTTTAGGGGAATTCAGCAATCCCTGAAGGGATTTTTTTAGTTTTTTGATTTTTCTACAAACCCAGGAACTCTACTGACTATGTAGGAAAAGCTGTTGGGGGGAGAGTGAGCCCCCTGTTGGTGGAAATAAGTATCCACACAGAAAAAAACCTCTGGCTAATAGAATAAGGATATGGAGCAGAAGTCCATCAGTGGCTATTAGCCACAAGATATAGCTAGGAACTCTTAGGCTGGGGCAAGTGATGCACTGTCTTCTTGGTGCTTGTGGGGCAACAGTGGGAGGGCTTCTAGTGTCCTGGCCCCACTGCTGGACCTTCTGATGGCACCCTGCCACAATGTGACAGAGTGTTGGACGGGATGGGCCATTGGCCTGATCCAACATTGGCTTCTTTTGTTTTCTCTTATGTTCTTGTCCAGTGATTCCTTCCAGTGAGTACATCTGGTAGGCACAGGAGGCTGCATTTAAACAAAAAATTCTTCCACTGCAACTCCAAGAGGGACCTTGGGCAGCAGGGCAGTCCTACTGCTTCCCTCCCAAGGGCAGCTCATAGCATGGTGGAGGGGATGTGGGGAGGACTGGGCTGAAGGACAGGTGTAAAGATTTCTAAATATTGACAACCCTTAATTATCAAATATGTAAGAAATATATATATAATAAAATATATTAATGAGATTAATTTTGCAGTTCCGATTAGCTATTCCAGTGCTAAATCAGCTTCATTGGCTCCTGATGTACTTTTCCAGGTCTCATCCAAAGCATTTACAATAATCTAACTCGATTAAAGCCTTTCCCAACATAAAGACTTGGGGCCAAAGTTAACATGACGGTGTCCTCATGGCTATGAGGACACTATCACCATTTTAAAGTGAGATTAAAATGGCTAAGGGCCTGGTCTTGATCAGGGCTGCAGTGCAGCATTCTTGCTCCCCTCCTCCTGTGCCTTTTCAAGCGGCCCACAGCCTTTTTGGCACCTGACCGGGGGGGGGGGCAGGACAAAGGTACCAAGCTGTTGGACCAATCAGCATCAGGCCTGATCCACATTTTAAAATCAATCCTCATGGCAGCTCTTTTGCTGGTATCAGAAGTTTGGTGGGTGGCCATGTATGACAAGGTGTTCATGTCTGGAGGCCATGTGGTATGCCCGGCCACATTACTTTTAAGGTTTTCAGAAAGCTTTTCAGAAAGTTATGCCTATCTTCTTCCTACAGGTGTTTGTGTTAAATTAACTCCTCTCTCCAGCTTTATTTCTACAGGCAAAACTCTAGAGTAAATACAATTTACAGGACTAGAGTACAGACTAAGAAAACAATGAAAAATGGAAAGATTGCGAGCCTCCTTGAGCATCTGATATCCACTCCATGCTGGGAGATTCAACTGGGTGTATATGTGAAAAAGATGCTGTCCTTTGCATTGTGTCACACTTTCTCCATAGTCTCTCTGACTCACAGAAGGGACAATGGCTTTTCAGGTCTTCTTCTGTGTATAAAAGGCGTTAACAAGTCTGAGCCTGAGGTTCTGGAAGCAAGAGCTGCCAGAACCTGCTCAGCCAATAGAGAGGCGCTAGCTGTGTTACTGTGTTTTCACTCCTGGCTGTAAAACTATACCTATCCAGCAGGATAATGGGCGATTTCTCACTAGAGCTGCCTTGCAGCACAGCGCCGTTTGCCCCAACACAAACATGTCAATTTCACACCCGAGGCTGCGGGGCTGCATTTGACTCGGGGCTTCGCCCGATTTTCTCCGCAGTTTCAGGATCCTCAAAAACCAGTATCACGAAACTGCGGAGGAAATCGGGCGAAGCCCCAAGTCAAAATGCAGCCCCGGAGCTTCGGGTGTGAAATTGACATGTTTGTGTCGGGGCAAACGGCGCTGTGCTGCGAGGCAGCTCTAGTGAGAAATCGCCCAATGTTTTTTCCAGCTTGGATGTTGCCAACAATGCTGGTCAGTCTTCATAAATGTCATGTCCCATGTGCCATCAGTCATGATGTGAACATACTAGGCCCTGAGCCAGCCTTTCTGGGAGGGCGGGGTAAAAATCTAATAAATAAATAAATAATAATAATAATTGAATGCTCATAAATTAATGTGTGTATTACATGTGAAAGAGAAATGCACAAACATTTGAGTTAAACTGTCTTGTTCAGTACGCTATCATTTATTATAGGTAAATGCATCTGAACGCCTTGATGGTGAATGTAGGCAGAGTAACAGTGAAGAATTAATCTGCAATGCTACCCAGGTAGTGTGCTTATTCTGTTTTGTATATATTGTTTCTGTGGAGAGAACAGTACCTGGCTGGATGTCATGTTAGTGGGATATGGTCTTCCTTCACTTTCCCTTTGTTGTGTTCTTCCAGCATCTCCAAAGTGTGTGTGTGAATGGGCCAGTTCTCAGCCCAGAACAGCCGGGTATTTGGCCTAAGATATTGGTTTAGAAATGGGATGAGGGAAGAATTGGGGTGGGGAATGTTGCTTGTATATGAAGCTGAGCTGAGTTAGTGTGTGAAGCTGAGTCAGCCCCATATGTCTCAATATTTGCATGATCTATACATGGATTACCAGTGGTAGCTTGTGAGCCAGATGTCAGTCAGAGCAACTTTATCTGGATGCGCAGCTGACCATGCTAAATTTTCATAAAGGTGTGATGAAAATTTTCCCAGTTTAGTAGTAAAGAAGTTGAGTGAGATGGATCTATCTAGCATGTTAACATCTCTGAATTTCTTATGAAAATGCCCTGGAGACTTATGCTCTCTAGCCTTGTTACAGTAATTTCACTAACTGTCTGTAAGTGCCTGACTTCCTGAAAAGTTCAGGTTTTGTAATGAAATATGGTCCGGCTTCCACAGCATTGTCTTGAAAATGGGGTAGCCCCTAAACATATAGAAAGGCATGTTCTGATATTGTGGATAGACATGTGATGTGAACAAACTGAATCTTTTTGTTTGTTTACTTATTCTTCAATCTGTATGTATGGAATTGACACTTTTTTTATACACTGACACAACCCAGCTGTTAAAAGTGTTCTGTATGGTTACAATATTGAGACCAGTGCCAGCTACCGCAAGATTAGCAGATAGTTCCAGTTCTCTGATAACAATCAGGGCTGAAGAACAGACTCCTGTCCCAGCCCTCACCAACCCTCAGGGTTGGCTGGGGGAGACGGCCTCCCTTTCCTGGTGTCGATCAGTGCCAGCAGCATTTACGGATTATCCATGTTATCAGTTCAAAGTGTGTTGTAGCTTGCAGGATGTTCTGATTTAAAAGCAAGTATATGATAGTGTCTACTCTTAACAATGGAAGGAGAAAACGTCCGCAAAGGGATGGAATAGCTGTGCTTCTGCCTTCCCTTTTTATAAAAGGGTTGTATGACATATAGTACAGGGCAGTAGTGGGGAGCCCTTGGCTTGTACAGTAGGGACTCACAAAAATGCCAAACATGTGAAGATCATTGTCATGTTTACCTGTACAAGTTCAGTGGATGTCAACATCTGGTTGGTAAATCTGACAAGGTGTTTCTCTGTATTTACCTTCCAGATATTTGGTTTCATAGATCCAGTATCAGTGTAGTGGTTAGAATGCTGGACTAGGACCTTGACCTGTGTTCAAATCACCTATCAACCATAGAGTGATTTCAGCAGTCACTCCCTCTCAGCCAAGCCTACCACTCAGTGAGATTATGAGGAAAAATGAAGGGAGGGGAGAACCACGCATGCTGCTAAAAATTCTTTTAGAGAAGGGAGGGATAAGAATATTGACAGATAATTTCCATGCAAGGCCCTTCTGTGCAAACTGAGTGGTGATGTTAGGACAGTGCCATGGAGGTAACTTATGTTCCTTGCTATTGGACTTGTGAACATTGCTCAACAGGAACATGTCAATTATAAACAGCATTTCAGACTATGACCAAGATGAATGTTCACTAGGACATTTCTGGGGCAAAAGACGGCTTTGGGGGCAAAATGCTCACCAAATATTTCCAAATTTTGTAAATGCAGCATGACTGTTTAAATGTAAGGTCTGCAAAGAAACTGCTAGAACCCCACTGCCCACTAAGTTAATAGCACTGCTGTTGCCAAGATAGTTGTGAGAGAAGCTGCTGTTGATCCCCTTTTGAGGACTCTGGGAAGACTGCCAAATGGGTATACAATTCTCAGTGTGTAAAGTTTTTTGGGGGGCTGAAATGTGTACCTCAAATTCAGCTCAGCTCTGTTCCAGAGAATGTGTGTGCATATTACATCTATTCAGTAATAACAAATTGTAGTTTGTGTAAAGAGAAGATGTGATACTAGAAGTTCTTTGAGAGTATATTTCTTAGTCCCATCCCATTTATACTCAGTTAATTTTTAGGTTATAAACTGTGTCAGGCTTCTCACAGTTATCGAGAAATTGTTAGTCATATAATATTTTAACATATTATACTCAAGTAGCCATATTATACTCAAGAGCCTCCCTACTGCATTGCCATGACTACCTAAGACTGCATATGAACATGCGCATAGGTGAGGAGGTCTACCTGCTGTATTATTTAATTTTTTTATAGTAGTAAAGTTATTGAAGGCATAGGCTGTGAAATGGAAAAGATTCAGCAATATTTCAGGTTTTCACATTAGGAAGTAAAGTACAGTGGACTGGGGATCATGAGTCATGACTTCAGATTAGTAATGCCTGTCTCCTTTCTTGCAAATACTGAATTTTCAAAAGTGGATGGAGAAATGATGACTGAATGCCCTTTGTTGCCTTTATGGTGACCGCTCTGAAGGATCATTCTGGAAGACTGTCATTGTAACTATATATCTTATTCCTAAGTGTGCCCCCTATCTGTGAATACTTATATTTGTGGATTGGGGCTACACTTGCGCTAACCAGATGTTTCTGCAAACTTGAAGATACCTTAGGTTTGCAGAAAAACCTGATATTAAAAAAACCAAAACATTGGGGGCTTAAATTCTCCCCCAAATAAAAGAGTGTTGTCTGCACGAGCAGACAATGCACTTACTTTCACAGTCCTGGTGGTGGCAGCTGCTGAGGCAGTAGCAGAAACGGGGAGCTGCCACTGGGCCTGTCCTGTCCCACCTGGAGCTGTGGCAGGAGAACCACCAAAAGTGAAGGGGGGAAGCCTTGGCAGGCTCACTCAGAGCAGCTCCAGGTGAGCTACTGAGAGCAGAGGAGAGGGGAGTCTCAGCTGGCTCATGTGGAACAGCTCTGGGAGAGCTGCAGAGGAGGAAAGGGGAAGGAAGATTCAGTGGCTGCCTGGAGAAGCTTTGGGACATATATGTCTTGGTGACTCACTCAGAGCTTCAGTGTACAGCCAGATGAAGTGTCCCACTCCTTCCCTTGCAGCGGGGGAAGGGGGGGGTCTCAGCTAGCTAGCCTGGAGCAGCTCTGAACAAGCCGCAGAGAGCAGCGGGAGAGGGTGAGGGAAGGCAGCAGGGCTGGCGCAGCGACAAGAAACCCAGGGGCTGCAGTGGGCCCAGTGGCGACTACAGGGGAGCCCAAGGACCACACTGGGGCCAGTAAGAAATTGTGTGTGTGAGATGGGATGCCCCCCTGCAAGTCTCGCATCCCCCACTTGTAAATTCTAACTTTGTTCCAACTCATTGTTTCTTCACAGAAAATATATAAAATGGCATGCAAGCTCAATAGACTATCCAACTGTACCATGAATGCTGATTTAAAGAACAACTTGACCAGTGTTTATAACCACACATTCAACTTGCTAAAGGTATTCTCAGGGTTTTTTAAAATGGGGTGTCCCTCGTAATATGCCATATATGTCTGGTCTATGCAGTAACAAATATGTAAAGTGATGATCATTGAAGGACAAGTCATGAGGTTACTGATGTTTAGCCATAGCAGTACTGTTTTAATGGGAAAAGAGTTATTAATTTTATAGCATATTTTAGATATTTGTGATTTTTGTCGTATTTTTGGAAGATCCATGGAAAATAATTTATACTGAGACTTTTTCTGGATGCTGAAGTTACTCCTGTTTTTCTTGGGAGTTGATCCACAAGCAAGAAATTGTTTTGGGTAGTGTTCTTCCACGCATTGCCATCCCTTTGAATTTTTTACAGTTGTAGAGTCAGTTTAGTTTCTTCCACACGTGGCTTAAAGAATGCAGATTTTCAAGGGAGGGTGCTGTTGTCATGAATGCCATTATCATGGTGTCACAGCATTCTCCCTTTTAGGCCCTAAAATATTGATATACCACTGTAGTGTTATGGTGATCGTTTAAGTAGGTTCTCTTAATTCCCAGCTTGCTTTAAAAAAAATGTCCATGTCCTTACCTTGCGGAGATATGCTTTTTGTCTTATATCTCCATGAGGGAGGGGACTAGACCGCTACCCTCCATGTAAATCTTTTTAAAGATTATATAGCAGAGAATTATAGTTATATTCCTTTCTATATTTCAATAGTTACATCATCTGTAATAAGCTTACATTTTAAAATATTATTTCTTTTCACTCAAATTTAGTATTATAGTTACTGTTCCTGACGCATAAAATACCATGATCTTTTGAAATCCATTTTCAGTGTGCAGATGTTACATTGAGCATTTGAAATTTGTTTACTGTCAACACTCAGATCTCAGCAATGGCAGTTATATGTCTAATTGAAAACTTGGCCCAAAGTGTGAATCAAAAACCCAGGCATTTTATTAATAAAAAAGGAACAGCCAAGGGGAGGGTGAGGAATGAACCAGGAGACGGAAGTGTAGTAGGTTGTGCTGTGGTAAGGAGGAAGAAAGGAGCTGCAGTGGCTCAAGTGGTTAAGACGCTGAACTGTTCAGCAGTTCGAGACCGGAGTGCCGCATGACGGAGTGAGCTCCCATCCCTGGTTCCAGCTCCTGCCAACCTAGCAGTTCGAAAGCAAGAAATTGCAAGTAGATAAATAGGTACCACTTCGGTGAGAAGGTAACAGTGTTCTGTGCACCTTGGCATTTAGTCATGCCGGCCACATGACCACAGAAATGTCTTCGGACAGCGCTGGCTCTTCAGCTTTGAAACGGAGATGAGCACCGCAACCCCAGAGTCGGATTTGACTGGCTTTCGAGCAAGGGAAACCTTTACCTTTACCTGAGGAAGAAAGCAATGAGGGGAGGAGGAGGAGGTTGTGGCAAGTAGATGGGACTTTGGCCCCCCTGCAAAATTCCTCATGCTTCAGTCTAAGTTTATGAATGTGCAAAAATGCTGAGAAACTCATGAAATGCAATATCCAGCACTTACTGGTATTTATGCCGATGGAGCAAGAAACAAATATCTAGATTTGAACATTCACAAATTCAGCTGGGATTGTCAGAATTCCCACATTTATGTGAACTGTCACCAGAATTTGGACAGTCAGTTAACATACCTGGGAAGAAGTTCTCAGTAAAAGTAATGAATAGTTACAATTTTACCCCTTTGTTTTTTCTTGAATTGTTCTTTCTTGACATACCAAAAACATTTTTTAAAAACTCTTTATACTGCTTGCGTAAAGAAATAAAGGAAAATGTATAGGCAGTATTCTATCCACGATGTCTTCATTCTGGTGCCCTGGGCACAATACAAAGGGAAGACAAAACAAAAGTAGCAATAACAAACTGCTTCATTGTTTTTCCATTCTATACCTGAAGGGGTAAGATTCATGAATTATTTCGTGCAGTTTTTTAAAGTAGCCATGGCTGTATTATGATTCTGATGAAACAGGTATACATTTTTCTGGTCTTATTTTCTTAACACTAATTACAAATAACCCCTCCACCACCACTCTGCATATTTCTATGTCCATCTAGTACAATGTCTTTGTTCAGACTATGGCTTAAACTATAGTTAGTGCAATTGTCTAAACATGAGATAACCCCACTAACTGTGCTTAGTTGACGACATCAAGCCAGGAACTGAAACCTTGGTATGATATCCTGACTCTTTCTCTAGTGCTGCCCTTACCTGAGTACAAGTCATGATACCAGACAACTCTCTGCAGCTGAGCACAAAAGGAAATAAAGCCAGCATTTTGCAAGACAAGCCATGATATGAATGACAGTTTTTGAAATTAGGATTTGACTGTCGGACTAAACATTGTTAATAGATCACAATTTCATGTAATCTCTGAATCTTTCAAGTGTCTAAGTATGGCCCTGACACTGCTCACTGAAGCACTAATACTATGCACAATTCACTGTTTAAAAACCAACTGTCTTATGTTTAATATAGGACTGCGTCAAGGAAGAAAAAAGACATCAGAGGACAGACACTTGCCAAAAATCAAATTCTACAGCCTTATGTCGCATAAAGAAAACCATCTGCAAGTTTAAGTTATGCTGGATGCAGTATATAAACTCTTAAGTGAAACTTGATGAACTATAAAAATGGTTTTGTGGACTATTTCCCCAATAACTTTGCACTGCCTGTACATCTCTCTGCTTACTCAAATATTCTTCACCAAAATCCTCATAAGACACTGTTGTACAGTGTTCCTGGGGGAAAATCAGTTGGAAATATGTAAGAAATCCTCAGTGTCTTGAGGGAATGCTCAACACTTGCAGATGCAAATGAATGCAATTGAAAACTGTTATCTTTTTGTTTCCTTAAGAGTTTTATTTGGCCTTTGATACATTTATATATACGGTATTACATACCTAAAATTCAAAGAACAGCGAAGCACTTTAAAACTACCAAGAAAGCAACTTGCCAAGTAGCTTCAGGTATCTGAACAAGTGAGCAGTGACCCACGAAAGCTTGTGCCATGCCACAAATTTTGTTAGTCTTTAAGGTGCTACTGGACTCTTGCTGTTTTCTACTGCTAATGTCAACTGCCCATCTTGCTCTATTGCCAGGTCTGTGTGTCTTTATCAATATATACGTCATGGCTGTAAAGAGTTCTACTAATGATGGACATAATTGATTTTATAGCTGATGCAGAAGACAGGTTAGCAGAGGGGAAATGTTTATTTATAAAAGACAGGATGATGATTATCTAGTTTAGGGAATGTGAACATGGAGGCAGCTGAGGTAGCTTGTGGCAAGATGCAGTAAGGACTTTGAAGACAGGCATCTGTTTTTGTGTGTGCAAGTCAAGAAAGTTCTACCAGGAATGATCAAGGGTTGCTCAAATTAGGGGCTGACTTCTCTGATGCAATTCATTTAATACAGTAACTTAACATTTTAAGGCATTTTTATAAAATAATATATTGGTATTTTACTGCTATGAAGTTTGTATTTAAGTGAACAAATGCTTTTATAATTGTCTGTAACTCAATTTTTTACACAATCCTTATTCCTTTAGTGTAAATACACTCATAATTATACATCCTACATAATGTTTTTGGAAGCATTTTAGTTCTTCTGTATTTTAATATTTGCAACTGAAGGAAAAGAATACCAATTCTATGAAGATGTTATACCATCTTATCGCCAGAGATTAAGGAAAGCTGTTGTCCATTTACCATGTTAAGAAAATTCTACTATTAACATTTATAGTTCTAATTATTATATTAGTGTAATTAGGATTCAGTACTAGTTTGCTGGCACTTACCTAGTCCAAGCACTACTCAGGAATTCAATAAATGCAACAACCAATTATAATCGTTCTGGACCATAAACTGCAGGGACCAATTACATACCACTAAGTCAAAAAAATGGAGCTGTATACCATAATTGCTTTATTTTAACAAAACCTAGATAACACAGTAAGCATTTACAGATCGCTTTTGCAGGAAATGACCAAACATTTACAAAAGTAAACACCATTGGAACAAGCTCACACAACTAGTAGAAGTTAGACTCTTACTAATTAAAAGGAAAATGCAAGGATCTGATACATTAAAGAGAGAGGTCAGGCAGATGCAATAAAGAAGTTGTATTCTTAAACAGGCATAATATATTAAAACATCTGTGGAAATATAAAACAAAAAATAAGTGGGGTCTTTGGTGATTAGTAAGACTTTATATGCATCTTCTAATAACTAACATCCAAGCAAAGCAGAGTCCACCCAAAATCTTGATGGATCCAGTAAGATCTGTAGGGTACTCAGAATTTCCCGGTATGAACTACAAAGTATGAGTCCATTCTATACAATGCCAAACATGCAGCAGTCTACCAAAGATAAATAGCTGTATTTCCACCACTAATTTTGAATGGAAGACGGCCACACACATTAGCCTGACACAAAGCAAAAATCTGGGATCAAAAGGATGAAAGGAAACCCACCACATGCCACACTATCATTAGGCACTGTGAGCTGCAGTTTTCATAACATGAAGATTAATCTCTGACTAGAACTAACATGAAGCAGCCCTGAATGAAATCTTATTTATGTTGAGCTCATGCACTCTGAACATCTTTGTTTAAATGAGATTCAATAACTTGGCAATCACAGTGTTCATATATTCAAGAGGGGAAATTAGATAATAGCTTGTAATGAAGGTGGATATCAAAACACCAACATTTGTTTGTAAACAAATTCTTACTGGCCAATCAAAAATACTCATATAAAATTTACAGTTGAGATTTGGGGGGGGGGAATGTGGAGTGAAAGAAAAATTCTGAGAAGCTTAATTTCTTTTGAATATCATGAGAAATACCAGTGCACTTTGCAGCCTTCTCACCAGGGCGCACACCGCTGGAAGAATGTCTGCATGTCCTGCAGGTGGCTTCAGAAACAATGCCAACTCATGGACCGCGAGGACCATGGGGATGACAAAAGCCAAGCCCGCCGTGTCAGATGAGAGCAATTCTGTGAAGGTCTTTAAGGGCTTAAGAACCTCCACAGCCTGAGAGATGGTCAACCACTCCTCGCACTTGAGCCGGCTCTCTTCCTGAATGACCCCACTCTCAGAGATCAGGGCAGTCAGGGCTCTCTCCTGCTCCACCAAGCGTTTAAGCATGACGCAGGTGGAGTTCCAGCGAGTGGAGACGTCACCTAGCAGGCCGTGCTCCGGCAGGCCTGCCAGTGCCTGCTTCTCGCGCAGTAGATAGAGGTCCTTCGTACTGCGTGAGAAGTGACTCGTGATGAACCGGCATTTCTCGAGGATATGCCGGAACTCATGAGTCGCAGTGTCCAGATTGGGATCCTTTGCAGAACCCAACCCCAGAGCATCCTTAACCACGAGGTTGGTAAGGTGTGCTGCACAGGAAATGCGCTTCAGGCCCAGTTGCTCTGCCGCTGCCCTAAAGTTTGAGCCACCATCGGTCACCAGGAAGCCCTTGGTGACACCCCTGCCTACCCACTCATCGAACCGACTATTGATGGCGACCCAAATGTTGTCTGCCATGTGCGACCCATTGAGTCTCCCGATGTGAAGCAGAGCCTTGCCTGTCACTAGGTTGCCCTCCCCCACCCAAAACCTCGCTCGGTTGCCACCAGTGCGCAGTAACTGAGATGTACGAGTTATGCACCTTACAGGAGGTCCATATGTCGGACGTGAAGTGCACATATCTCCCAGAAGCGTGGGAAAAGTGTGCCTTCATGTGGTCCTTGGCAGCCCTGAACAATGAGGGCATCATAGTCCTGCTCATCGTGGTGCGAACAGGGGTACACGTGTACCAGGGAAAGGCATGCTGGAGCACCCTGCGGAAACCGATGTCTTCAACTATTTTTATTTATTTATTTATAAATTCAATTTATAGCCCACCCTCCTCACAGCGCAGGCTCAGGGCAGCTTACAATCTGGCATCAGCCAACATATAGAACACATTTAAAACCATAAAAAACTATGGAGTAGGGGCACCAGTCTATGGCAATCATCTCAGCAAGAAGGCGAGTGACCTTTCTGCTGGCCTGTTGCTTCCCACCCCTAGGCACTCTAGTGCCGACGTCGCCAAACATCTCCGTCAGAGATGTTTGGCGTCCCTGCCCCGTCCCTACCTCAGAACACGCAAGGGGAGCACTGGAGGTGGTCGGACGACTCACCTCCTGGCTGGCTGGTGGTGGCCGCCTGGGCACCCCAGCAGCAGCCTGTCTCTCCTCCTGAAGAAGTACTGCCTGGTGGTGCTTTTTCAGATGGTTCGAAGCCCAGAGGTCGAGACATGGGCGATGTCCTTCCCTCGACTTACCTGGGCCCTGCGCAAAACGGGGATTCTCTGAGACGACCTGGAAGTGGTTTCAGACTCCAGAGGTGAAGGAACATACACACTGACCAGTGGCCATCGGCTTCCCCAGAGCCTTCTCCTGTGAGGGGCTCAGGCGAGACACATCGGGTCCTGAGGGGGTAGGAAGAGGAAAACTGAGGAGGGGGAAGGAGTTGAGATGGCAGGTGCTTGGGGCGCACCACCTCCATCTCTTCCTCCAGGCCCAGCCTCCTCTCCTCCCCCCACAGGAGGCCTGCTGAGGCCTTGAGGCACCAGAGGAGTGGGCAGGTCACCCAGCTCCTCCTCCAGTTCCTCTAGAGCCCTCTTAGTCCTTGGAGTGAGCCCTGAGAACAGAGTGTTCCCAAAGCTCAACCCCATGGACTGCCCTTGCTGCCCCTCCTCCTGCCGCTGAGTCCCAATGGCTGGAGGAGGAACTGCCTGAGCAGCAGACCCCTGCCCAGTGCCAGCACCTACAGGCACCTCTGAGCTACAGGCAGATAATAATGCATTGCAGTGATTGGCTGTCTAGTTCCCTCTCCCCCCCCTCCTGAAAACAGGAGCAAAAGGTGGGAAAGAGGGGGAAACGGCGGGAAAACGGGGGTTCCCTGCCGCCCTTTAAAGTTTAAAGCCGCCGAATGCCGTTTTTCGGCAATGCTGAAAAAGCCAAACCTCCCCCCAAATTTTTTCAAGTTTTTTTCCCGGATATCCGAAAAGGCTTGAAATGGCCATTTTGGGATCCCGAAAGCCAAAAAAACCGCAAAAATATTTTTTGCGGTTCGGGATTCCGAAATGCACACCCCTACCCAGGAATCTACATCCAAAGTTTCTCTTCATGTGTATGACTGAGATCCCAAGAGCACCACGTTTAGGCAGGAAGTGCTTCTGTGTGTAAAGGGAAGTGACTGCTACCAGCTGCAGCTCTTCCCAGTGAGATCAAGTGCTACAAAAATATCAACATGCTAACCTGCACAATCAACATGCTAACCTGCACAAATGGCCATTCATTATCATTGAGAACCTATCACCAGAAAGCAGTTGCCTGCCTGTGCAAGTGTGTAGCCATTTGGATTCCAGCCTACCTCATAATAAATTACACAGCTGTGAGCTTCCATTACAAAATGCAACAGAAGCGTAGGAGGGGGGTGGATTCTGTATCACAGAAACTGCATCCATAACAGAACCTGATTATTGCTGTTCAAAGACAGTGAACACGATGATTAAAGGATGCAAAGATTTTCATCTTAAGACCTCAGATTCTAAATTAATTTATACAACAATCTTTCTTAATAAGCCTTTGCACAGCACAATACGAGCACTATGAATGTGCCACTGATAAAACCCTACATGAAATATCATTCCCACCCTCTTTCTCAAAATCAGAAATATAAGAATGTATCATTATGAACAGTATGCAAAGAACTGCGTCATTACAATTAAATCTGGGAGAATGTCATAGTTTATAAAATACTGGATGTTTTCTTCAGAGAGACTAGTGAAACTAACGGTACAGCATTCTGGGTGCAATGTCTCAGCAGGACAGAAATAAAAATTTCCAATATTTTTTATCTACAGGTTTCAAGGGCTTCCAGTACAGCATGTAGTATCTCGGTAGCAGCCCTTCATTTCGACAGAAAGTATTTTGAATTCTACCTTGTTTGACAACTGCTATAAAACAGTGAAATTTAGAGTATTTCTAGACTACATTTTCTATATTGCAAATAGTGTTTGCTCAGAAGTGAATGCTGATTAATATATACATAGCTAACACAGCCATTGTTTTTTATTAATAAAATCCATTGTTACATACAGAACCCACAAATGTTCTCATAAAACTTTTACAATGAAGACCTAAAATATAGCAGGGAGGATGGCATGAAAGAGAATTGCAGGATAATGCAAGCAATACAGAATGGTGAAAACTGAACAAAGTTCTGTACATTTTGGTCTCACTCTCAGAACTGGTTAAGTGCTATCTAGCTATTGTAACATATTGCAGCTAAAACTTACTTGCTAAATACTATAGTAAACATTTTCTAGAATTGAAATGGGCGTCATCCTCACAATTGAGGTACAACTTTTAGAAAAACCTAGGAAATCCACAATTTCATATCAATGAGCTGGTCAATTCTAGGGACCTGCAATTTACCAGCAATCACCTCTCTAGAAAGCAGGGGAGATAAGAATTACCTTGATCTACTAAATGCATACGAAGTATATTTCATACTAAATGCATACGAAGTATATTTCAGTTGTTAGCAACAGTGTATTTGTTACGGGTTGGAAAATGAAAATAAAATTTTAATATATTAATAATAATCCAAGAACAGACACAAATGACCCTCTCAGTGATCAAATAATTGCTACAATTGACAATGGATAGGAGGTAATAGAAACAAGTTATCAAAATCATTTTGGGAAAGGCACTTTTAAGTAAGATTTCATACCTTCAGTTTTTGAAAGAATACTGATGAAGGTTACAGACTTCAGTGGGCCACTCTGTTCATTTTGATTTGACCTTAGAAGATACTAATGCAAAAACAGAAGATGCTGTAACCAAGACGTGTTATGTTTTGAAACTCACTTGCTCCATAACCAGTGTAAAAAAGTGTGATTTCTGCTATTGTATCTTACAATTTATGCCAAATGACTGCAGGACTATCTATATGGGCAAGAATGTTTTTTAGAAATTCGTTCAGGACACAGTGGACAAATAATTCAGCCTATGTTTATGTTTTGTTTTCTGTGGAGAAAGGGAACAACAGTGCTTTACAACAGTAGGATAGGGAAAGGGTAATAATGAACAAAATGCACATGTTCCATTCATTTAATTGAGGTTCTTATGGGCAGCAGTGGGTTGCTGGATTGGTCCCACAGATGCCCGAAGGAAGGTGAATTACTCTGCAAAACCAGAGATGAATCTAAAGGAAGAAATGGTTCATTTATTAAAGGTGAATTAAGGATATGTGAATAACAGGAAGGAAAAATATTTCAATTATACACAAAAGAAGCATCTACTCATAGATTATAAAGATTTTTGCATGCAGACATAGGAAAAATGTCAAGAAGTCAGGAGAACGAATGTTAAAAGATTCAGGATGAACTGCTCCACCAAGTAATGTGCTGACTTAATATTTTAGCATAAGGAATTCTTTATTCAGCATTTTCTTTACATAAAATTATTCAGGATTAGTACTCCATGGGTGAGTGAGAAGAAAATTATTTATGGGTATAATACATAACAGGATTACAAAAACCCTACTATTTCTTGAGTTAATATTTTGCTCCATTAAAGAAATTTCTACCAGTGTCCCAAGAATATCTCCTTGAATGGCACAATTTTAGGTACTTATCATTTATATACAGTATATTTATATATAAATTACTCTGCAACAAAAAAGACAAGCTCTTGGAACATGACTATGGTGCTTGAGCGTGAGTTCTGATGGGAAGATACAGGTTTCTGTGCAGCCATAGCAATGAAAGAGCTGGTTCTCTTTTTTCTAATTTAGATCATGTTCACATAACCATTCGCCGAACTCCACATTCGCAGCAGAATTTTGCAGATTCAACTGGGTATTTTGCTCCACATTCATAACAGAATTTTGGTAACTGTGCAGGTGAATTTCCCTCACTGCTTTTAGAGCTTCCTCCATTGACAGACGATGAACAGTCTCCACTCTCGTATCCAGTCCTTCATCAAGTATTAAAAATTTAAAATAAAACATATTAAAAGTTTATTTAAAGTAGTGTGCACAGTCATACACATATTGGGGCGTATAAGTTGAATAGACTAAAATGGGTTTTCTATGTATTCTTATCTGTTCTACCAGAAGTGAACATGGTTGGAACCAAATTAGCAGACACTGTCTCCATATCAAACAGGATAACATTTAACAGTATGCTTGACTTTGGCAAATCTCCTGAGAAGTAGGTTGTAAAGGAAAATGCAGGAGAATGGGCCATTGTGATGATTACAAAAGCAAAGCCATAAAATAATAGCTGATCTCCTAATTAAAGTCGGATTCTCATTTCATCAGATGGCAGACATAGGCATCTGGTAAAAAAGACAAACAAATGCTGCTTCTACATCAAGTTGGCAGGGTAGGAAAAGGATCCTCCTTTCTCTTCCCGCTTTCCCCCCTCCTTCTCCTCTATCTAGTGAAGCTGCCCTGTCATGCAGTACACACATAACACATATGTACCTGATACTATGATTAATGATGGTTGTAACAAAATGTATACAGCCTAACAACTCTGAAGAAAACAGGAATAGGGAAATAAGGCAGGTAAACTGAGATGTTAACTCAGTTAAATTAATATTTTGTGGAGGAAAAAGTTGGATAATTGTATACTTTTATATTGTGAGCCCTTCCACTCAGCACTTATATGCTCTTACCCAGCTACATTAAGTCCCTGACTTACAAATGCCTGTTATGAACAATCCAACCTGTACTTACAAATGCAGCAGAAACCAGGAAGTTAACTTAGAAGGGGGCATCCAGCTTTCCCCTGTGCCAGCCCAGATATAGTGCAGCTAATGAGGAGGGACATGGAAGCACCTCCTGTCCATTTTCTGTGTGGGCTCCCATCAGGTGAGGGAACAGGGTCTTTTCCCAGGACCGCCTGCACCTCCTGATCTGCACCTGCCCTTTTTAAATCCCCCCCCCCCGTTAGCAGCTTTTGAAACAATCCCAAAACTGAAAAACTTTTGATATTGGGCATGAGTTAAAGAAATCTGTACCCCCTTTTCCCAAAGTGTGATCTTTGGTATGCATTTTCAGTCTTACCTAACTAAGCCTACTTTCTGTAAGCAAGGCACCACCTCATTCAAAGAAAATATTTTTAAAAAAATTATTCTACTCTTGTCTATCTTGTATAATTACCACATACTATTACAACAGTATTTCCCCCCTAGGTTTCCCATTATGAGCATACAGTATTTTAGTTGCATTACAAGTTAAATAGGCTTCTTGGAGCTAACATGGGAACCTAATCACCATCTACTGTGTATCTCTGTGGGAAATATGTTCCATGTTCCAAACATCCGATTTCCAAACAGACTTTTCAAACACAACTTGTTTGAAGCAGGGGACTTACTGAACTCTGCTAAATAATGCAGAAATTTGTCAACCCCCCTATCATTCACACAGTTCTAAGGATTCACATTTCCATAAAACAGCAATTTCTTCCTTCCTTTCTGCTGGATTATAAGAATTGCTACCCACCTGTTAGAGTAGCTTTCAGTACCATAGCCTTTTCTTTTGTTTGCCATCATGCCCATGCCAGCATTTCGCACTACACCAGGAGGCACTCCTGTCCATGATTTCATGGAGCCTCTACAAAATAGTATTAATTCAGTACATTAGAAGGAATTCAAAGGAAACAATCCAAAAATTGGGTTCCAATCCAGTGTCTACACACAGATGCTACAGTGTGTGTGCAGTCCTGGTGCTAAGGGCAGGTCTCTGCATTCAACAAGCTACCAGGAAAGAACTCCTGTGTGCAGAATACTACAAGGGGCAGGGGATGGTAGCAGGAGACTGGATCATCTGGTCTATCAAAATCTTTTCTAGCTTTCTTCAAATAAATACATTCCTCACAAATTGCTACCGGTATATAATCACAGAGTTGGAAGGTACCTCCAGGGTCATGTAGTCCAACCCCCTGCACAATGCAGGAAATTCACAAATACCTCTCCCTCCACACCTCCAGTGACCACTGTTCCATGTCCAGAAGATGCCAAAAAAAACCCTCCAGGATCTCCAGCCAAACTGGCCTGGAGAAAAATTGCTTCCTGACCCCAAAGTGGGAACCAGCATTTCCCTGGGCATGTAAGAAAGGGCTACAAGAACTAAGTACTGAGGCAACCCTTCCTGCCCTCCCTCGCATGATCTGCCTCAGTTCACATAATCGGCATTGCTGTCAGATCCATCTAGCCGCTGTTTGAAAACCTCCAAAGAAGGAGAGCCCACCACCACCTCTCGAGAAGGCCTGTTCCACTGAGGAACCGCTTGGTCAGGAAGTTCTTCCTAACGTTTAGCTGAAAACTCTTCTGATTTAATTTCAGCCCACTGGTTCTGGTCTGACCTTCTGGGGCAACAGAAAACAACTCAGTACCTTCCTCTATATGACAGTCCTTGAAGTACTTGAAGATGGTTATCATATCACCCCTCAGTTGTCTCCTTTCCAGGCTAAACATACCCAACTTCTTCAACTTTTTCTCATAGGACTTGGTCTCCAGACCGCTCACCTCACCATAAGCTACACCTGCCAGTTTGGTGTAGTGGTTAAGTGTGCGGACTCTAATCTGGGAGAACCGGGTTTGATTCCCCACTCCTCCACTTGCACCTGCTGATGTGACCCTGGGTCAGTCACAAGCTCTGGCACAGCTGTTCCTGAAACAGCAGTTTGTGTCAGAGTTCTCTCAGCCCCACCCACCTCACAGGGTGTCTGTTGTGGGGAGGGGAAGGGAAAGGAGTTTGTAAGGCGCTCTGAGACTCCAAGTGAAGGGCGGGGTATAAATCCAATCTCTTTTCTTCTTCTTCTACAGTGTCTGGTGCTGTTTAATAAGAATCACATGCCACTCTCAACAAAGATGCTCACCTGTTGTTGTTGTTTTCAAATAAAGCATTATAGCTTGGATAGACTGGTAATTAGAATACACAGAAGAAGAGTTTATGCCCTGCTTTTCACTACCTGAAGGAGTCTCAGAATGAGTCTCAAAACAGCTTACAATCCCATTCCCTTCCTCTCCCCACAACAGACACCCTGTGAGGTAGGTGAGGCTGAGAGAGCTCTGAGAGAACTGTAACTGACCAAAGGTCACCCAGCTGGCTTCATGTGGAGGAGTGGGGAATCAAACCCAGTTCTCCAGATTAGAGTCTGGTGCTCTTAACCACTACACCAAACTGGCGCTCATAAACATACTCCTGAACTGCAGCCTTCTCTGAAACAGGAAGTAGTAGACACATCTTTAACTACATGAGCAAACCTTTTAGCAGCCTCTCTGACAACATACCCCAAACAACGTTTCATTCATATTTTCAAACAGCAGCTCTGTTCCCGATATGTGAACTCTTCAGCTCCCAACCATTCCATAATATATCACAATACTGATGGTAAAGGTCAGGAATTTGTTCTGTGAGCACCTTGTTTTGGCACAGGAGTAAGTATCACATTGTGATTATACAGGGCATACAAACCACTGCAGTATCACTTACTTTGGCTCAGATACAGAGTTCTAGAGGAGCTCAGATGTGCATGAATACTGCCAAGTAGGGGTGTGTAAAAAAAAAATCCCCCCCCTGATTCAGGTGTATTGGACCCCAAATATTCCCGAATATCAGTATCAGTATTCTATTGGTATCTGGGGTAAATATAATGGGAAATTTCATTCACTGAGTCATGCCATGGTGGCAGCATGACTCTGTGAGTGAACTCAGAAGAGATTTAAAGACACTGCAGCCTCTTTAAATGCTTTCTAGCCATGCCCGAATAAAAGCCGAATAATATCAGTATTTATTTGGATGTGGCTATTTGGGCAGCCAAATCAGATTGTTTCATCTGTATTCGGCTGAATAAATACCTGAAAAATACTGATAAAGTATTATTGGGTATGTATTTGGCTCAGTATATACCGAGCACACACTCGTACTGCCAAGTATTACAGGGTTTCTTTATTCATTTGAATGAAAATCAGTCTGAATATATTACTACCCTCTCTAGCAGAGCTTGGTCACTACGGAAGCAATCATAGAAGAACCTGAAACTACGGTCTCTGTTCTATGTACTCGGTGCTCTTGTGTGCATGTGACAATCAGGTTGTACTTTGGAATTTAGTGTTTCAGTCAGATAACTAAATAGAAATCTATAATCTCCCTCTTTTCCTTACAGAGATAATACTGGTCCTCTTCTTATACTAGTTGAAAAATTTCCAAGATTTCTGCTTAAAACGTTTCTAGGCTCAGTAGCTTCACAGAAACACTCCTATTTTACATCTGTTTCCCTTTCCCCATATAAAATGAGAAAATGACCTTTTATCTGCCCCCAAATTCAAAATACACAAGCACCATATATATATTACGGGAGCAATAAAATGCTTTTTCATCACACAGACCACAACTGTATAGTCCCCCCCCCCGAATTTTCTTTTTAAAAATAAGCTTTTTAAAGCCACTGCATCTAGCTAATTGGTTTCTATGTAGAGTTAAACATTGCCATCTAGAGGGCAAACTGAAAAATATCCTAACTTAAAAACAACAGTATTTCCCAAATTAGTTTTGATTACCCATACCAAGATTTTCTAGATGACATCTAGCAATAACAGAATATGTTTTATTTTTATCCAAATACCAACTGGAACCAGACCTGTTTAGCTTCAAGAAGGATGCTACATTATACCTTCTAACTAAATCAATAGCTATTAGACTTGTGAGGAAGTATGGGATGATGTAACAGAAATGTGATAAAAATATAGCCCCATATAGATAAATTCACTATCTGTTCTGAATCAATTCACTGGAAATTACACAGAATGTTTCATTTGTACATTAGTTGCTGTAGATTTTCTGCGTTGTGTGGCCATGGTCTTGGCACTGTAGAACCTGACATTTTGCAAGTAGCTATGACTGGCAACCTCAGAGGTATAACACCTTGACACAGAGAGTACTCTGAGGATGCCAGTCACAGCTACTGGCGAAACGTCAGGTTCTACAATGCCAAGACCACAGCCACACAACCCGGAAAATCTACAGCAACTAATGAACTCCGGCCATGAAAGCCTTCGACAACATTTCATTTGTACAACTTTTATGAAATACCATCCTAATGGATAATAGCATTAACAGATTCTAAGAGTTGATAACAATAACCCCAAATAATGGTTGAGATTCCTGGGTTTAGGCCATTGTCGTCAACGTTTTTTCTTTACAACTCCTAGTGAAACATTTATGCTAATTAATGTCCCAATGAAAGACACAGAGAAGAACAGAAGCTTAAAACCTTTATTGAATAAAACTCAGTGAGGGATATGCAAAACGCAGCAAGCCTATAAGATTAATAGTTGTCTAACAAAAATTGCAAGACAACATGTAAACTGAATATGCTATGAACGTATGACTGAAAACCCCTTCAAGAGAAAAATCAGAAAGCTTATCTATAACTTATTTTTCAACAGGTCATATATGCATTCAGACTGAAGTGCTTTGCATCTACACAGAGTTTTGATCTCAAAACTCCTAGAGGTTGGGAGCATAACATGTGATCCAGTGGAGTTCTGGCTGTTGCCCAGCTAGGGTGTTCTGTCCACTTAACAGAAGTTTAATGGAATGTTATTTACCTCCATGCCACCATGAAAAACGTCCCCTGCCCATCTGCACTCATTGATCCACTATTAAAAGGACAGGATATATTTTCTCCTTGTTGTTGGCTACCTTAGGCAACCACCACAGTAACTAATGAAATTAAAGGAATCAAAAACCAAACTTTTTGTAAAAGGGGGGAAAACACCCCTGAACTAGTCCCCTAGGTAAATTGGGTCAAGATATATAAGGTATTGGCAACTACATCTATATCCCCAAATTTCTGAATCTCCTTTGAAATTCACAGAGAGCCAGTATAGTTGCCAACAACCTGGAGAAAAAGTGTTCAGAATCTTTAACAGAGACCTAATGTGTGCAAATGGGCAAGTGAACTTTTTCACAGAATGTGGGTAAGTAACACAACTTGGTACATAACATCTTATTAAGCCTCTATTAAGCTGAGTTTGTCTCCAGGCAACCCTAAGCGCACCTGTGGTGTAGTGGTTAGTCTTGGACTAGAGTGTTTGGGAGACCACGGGCTCAAACCCCTTACCATGGGAACTCACTGGGGTTTTGAGCCAGTCCTTCTCTCTCAGCACATCCTACCTGACAGGAGCTGATGTGAGAATAAAGCAAAGAAAAAAAATGTTGCCTTGAGTTTCTTGGAAGAAAGGAAGGAGAAAAAGTACTGCTATTAAAAACATCCTTCTCCAGGGCAACAGTGGATATTTTAGTGCTATGGAAAAAAAATCAGCTCAAAAGGGAAGCCCCATTTATCACTCCAGTGAGTCCAGTGATAAATCTTTTCACAAGTGGTTCCTGGAAAAGGTCTGATAAAATTGTAAATATTTCTATCAGATCTTCAAGATAAATAATCTTCACCTTACTGTTCAGCGGTTTTGGATCATTACAGAAAGATAACTGGAGGCCATTTTTATGACCCCATTAAAGGGACTGGAGTCTAAAAGCAGATTATACTTTGCTCACTACTCACATAAAAAGACCCAGAACGCAATAAAATGTTTGACTGATCCTAATCAATGCTCTTAAACCACTCTAGACCCAGTATTCATCTAGAGAGGTCCCTACAATCTGTAGGATAATGGGTTAAATGTTTGGGTTTCTATATCCATAAAATCCTGGTTCAATTTGGGATTAAAATCACAGGGAAAACCGGGGGGGGGGGATGTAAAGTGGCCAGATCAAACTCTTTTTTCCTAGAGGACAGAAGCCTTCAAAATTAATCCTATAAAACTAACTCACATAATCCAGATTAGAGCAAGGCACAAACAGAGACTGACAGTATTCAAGAAGCCGTGGCTCACAAGACATGATTACAGTGCCTGAAGAACAGATGGTATCAAATGCCTCAAGCAACCGAATGCTTCCAAATAGGTATGAAATCATTCCACCCTATCATGCAATACAAGGCATCCATAGTTAAAAAGCATGATGAATGCTGCCTATGATATACAAGAAATGCTGTCTTAGAAGTGTTACGAATTCCACGTGAGAATTAAAGAACCATTTGTAACAGTACAGCATTTAAAGTTTGCTTAAGATGTCCATATTGGCCATTCATGAAAATGCCATTTTATGATAAGTGGCAACCCTGACAACAGAACACCTTCCTCTCAGCCTCGCCTAAACCTTGCCCTTCCCAGCTGTGTGATAACTGGATCGAATACTTACGTGGGCATATGCACTGCGCACCTTTTATTGTAATGCTTTTATAACAATGCTTCTCTTAACCACTGTCAAGATGGCAAAGGAAACTCTATTCATTCAGGAGAAGTGACAGAAATGTTTTAAGACAGACCTAGGCACAGGTCCATCAATACTTGAATCAAATAATACTCTCACTAGATAGAGCTACTGGGCTGGATTCAGACTAAATTGGCTATTTCCACCAATTCTCCCTTCTCACTGCAGAACCCACTCAGGATCACCTATGCCCCCAGGGGCTGCATTCTGTGGAGCTCCATGGAATGAAAGAGACAGTGGGTTCCATTACACTGATGGAAGATTTAGTTAGGATGTGTTTAGCCTACTGTAGTTACAGAAGCTGTTATTTTATTTCATACTGTCAAAATGCGACAAATGAAGCATATTTGTTAATTATCCAATAACTCACTGTACACAGAATTAATTGTGCACTTACCCTGTTTGTGGGCTTGTTGTCTTCAGTGAGTTTTTATGAGCTGGAGATGAACTCTGCATTTTGCTTCCCACAGGTCCACTCGTAGACAACATTTTATTTGCAGGTGTACCTTTTGATGCAAGCATGAAAACATTTTTTTCTGTTTCTAGAACATTTAATATTTTTCCCAAGTCAGGCACAAGAGAATGCCCATGAAGTGACCTTGGAACTCCCTTGAAATAGTCTCTTGGGCCCAGGATCACCTAGAAGGACTTGTGGCTCAGTGGGAATTTAAACCCAGGTTGCCCCTCACCAAAGTCCCATACTCTAGCCATGCTAGCTCTTATTCTGGAAACATTCGTTTACTGGAATCTTAAATTTAGTAGCTTCGCAAGGCAGGAATTAACGCATTTAAGGTAGACTTGTAAAATTTTTAAAGTCCACCTATTCACATCCACCCCCCTTTCTGCTCTCTCCTACTCTACCACTGTGGTTTGCTGGTACAAAAAAGCATCCCAGGACCACCCCTGCTTCATTCTATATCCTTTTATATGACCAAAACCTACGTGTAGGTTGCACATAGGGAGCCTGAGAGGCAGTTTGTATAGATGCAATAACCAATCTTTTTTCTACTCTGATATTCACTTTACAAAGACCAATACGTAAAAAGAACATAGTTAGAGCTTCTGCCTCCTGGTGAATCTCACATGCACCCCACTCACAATGGATCCTATTTGAATTTGTTGAAACTTGCAATTTTTACAGAAGTGACACCAAAACCTAAAATTACCAGAATGTCATGAGTGTTTTAACAGTGGGTCTTTAACACTACCCTGTGTTACTATTCATGCATTCCTCATAAGTAACATCAAATCACATCTGTGATAATTTTTCAGTATTACTTGGCTGTGGCAAACGTGATGAGGCTGGCGATGTTGTCCCTGTGGAAGGCATCTTCTTTACAGATGGTGACTTGTACTAAAATAAACAGAAAAACAAATCAAATAACTCTTTAAAATGCTTAGATTCAAGTCAGGAAGGACACTGGAAGATGCATGTTTTTGAATTCTTCTGAATCCCCCCCCCCTTCTAGATAGCAGCCAAGAAAGAGAAACAGATTGGGACTGCAAAGTGTGAGAGATTAAATCTTTCTCCATGAGCTGTTTTCAAAGTCTCAAATGCCACCTCACCAACTGCTGCCCCCCCCCAAGTGTAAAGTGTAACAAGCAGCAAATTGAGACAGGGAAAATGAAGCCAAGGAAAAAATTAAAAACCCTTCTCCTCTCCTCCTGTTCTGGACTCCCAATCCAAATCAAGGTCTCCCACAGCTATTTAAGAATGAAAGGTGTGCTTGAAATCCAATCATGCATCTTCCCGTGTTTTGTCTAATCCAATCCTCAGACTGACTAATTTAGACTAATTTAGTTTGTATGCGCTTATTTGCATTCCAATCTCACTTCCTGAAACAATAAACAATCTCCACCATTCCACAAAATGTATACAAAAGTACCACTGGTCTCTCACCCTCTGGAAAAAGCCTAGTTTTTCACTTTCACTATCATATCGCATTCCAAACTGGGCCACAGATTATATGATAACTGTATCCACAAAATGGAATAAGGGACAGATGGTGGTGGTGAGATTTCTCCACAAACCTGAAGATTGTCCCAGATTTACAGAAAACTAAAATCTATAAGAAAACAACAACAACAACAACAACAGGGGATTAAAACTCCCCAAAAGAACAGAAGCAGCGCCTGAAGCTTTAAGGAAAGAATGCCCACTGAGCTTTCAATGATCATGTTGGGATTTGCTAGGCAACCACAACAATAAATTATCCTATGATAAAAAAGGACTTGGGCCCGGGGCAGCTAAAGGTAGGTTGGCTAGTGGGTAGGAAGGAAGCAAGAAAAGGAGAAGTGGCTGCTGGGGGAAGGAAAGAAGAAATAGTGGGGGAGGGGATACAAGGGAAAATGAGATGCCGCTCTGCAAGTCCTTGCAGTTGCCTGCTTGTAGAAAAAGTATTAGCCAGCAATTCCCATGCTGATTCAGTTAGGCTTGCCCCATCCTTCAGGAGCACTGATACCTTCTTATACATATATTCCGTATTTGTAAACAAAATCCCAACCTTCACACAGATTAATTTTTTTTAATTGCAGAAATGCTTGAGAGATGGGAAGCAGTGCTGGAAATTCTGACATCATATGGGCAAGCAGATAAAAGCTATGTTTCTGATAAAACTGATGTCTGATGTTGGACAGAAAAATATTCATATGACAACAATGTATTAATTTGTTGATTCACTTATACCCCACTTTTCTCCCCACTGGGGACCCGAAGTGGTATACAACGTTCTCCAAAGAATTTTTGCATGGCAGTGCCACTGTACCGCCATAAAGATACTAAACCCCCCCATCCTTCTAATCTTAATTTTGAAATAAATACTGCAAAACACCATAATTAACCACTGTGTTTCTGTGAAAAAATACCTTATAATACATAATGTGTGAACAAGTAAATATGGGATTGGTCTTGGATACAAAGAACATGGGATGTTATTCCTGCTAACCAAAGATTTATTTACTGTCTCAGTCCCCTCATATGTAGAATGGAAAAAACAGGAAGATTACAGCATTTTACATATTAAAAGTGATATAGGAAATAACAATGCTCCAAGACATGCAGTAGTCTTCTTCAACTGAATTTCATTAGTATTTCATTATTTGTTTGCCTGTTTTTAAACTTCTCCAATGAACATGGTCAATATTAATAAAACAGATCACAGAAAACTTCGACTCCTGTTTTCCTTTCAGAGCTTGTACATAACAATGCAATCAGAACCCATAAAATTGTTATTTGTCTGTGTCCTTCTGCATTCTTTTTGCTTTTTTAAAGTTTCAGCTTCAAGATGATTTTTGACTTCAAAACCTCTTATTGACAAATGAACAGGAAAAAACCTTCAGTTCAGAATGGGGGCATAATTTACCTGGGATCTAGTAGGAAGCTTCCCTTTAGCATCAGTAACCACTTTTCCTTTATTAGAAATGCGTGCTGCCTGTTCTTTGCAGAAATTTATGTGCCGATCAGCTGCACCTTCATTAAATCTTCTCTGGCAATATGGGCACTGGATGTAATCTAAATTCAACAGCAATCCATGAGCCACAAAAAATAACACGGATTCATTTATTGATGTTATTTTAAACGCTGACTTTTGGTCTAGACTAGATCCATAGAACAGTTTACAATTGAAAACACATACAAACAATATATATACTAAAACCCATAACAACAATAACATACCTATGTGTCAGTGGTGAAGGGTGAAGGGAGTGCCAAAGCTATCAGCTTACTTTACGATGGCTAAGGAACCTGGAAAAGTGCTTCTGATGATGGTATCACACTGGGGTAAACTGGCCTCCAGACTATTTAGAGGTTTAAAGGTAAGAGTCAACACTTTGAATGTCATCAGCCAATGAAATTATTTGGGCAACATAACATTAGCAGTGGCCAGATCACAGTTCCTCATGATGGGGCACAATTGGCAACTCAGCCAAAGCTAGGAAAAGGTGGTAGGTAGCATCTTGTGCTGCAATGCGGGATCCAAGAGTACCCTCTACTCTTCCAAGGGGAGTGTGACTCCCAGAATATGCCACCCATCTGATCCTAGAGGGTGGCTTAACTGTCAACTATTCCTCCTTGTCTGAATTGAGACGACGATTATTGGGTGTAAGTGCCATTAAGATGCTTATGATTTATGGCAACCCTATGAATTAACGGCCTTCAAAACGTCCTGTCTTTAACAGCCATTCTCAGTTTTGCAAACTGGGGACTGTGGCTTCCTTTATTGAGTCAATCCATCTCACACTGGGTCTTCCTCTTTTCCTGCTGCCTTCAACTTTGCCCAGCATTATTGTCTTTTCCATTAAAACTTGTCTTCTCATAATGTGACCAAAATACAATAGCTTCAGTTTAGTCACTTTAGCTTCTAGGGGGAGTTCAGGCTTATTACTAACCCTCAACAAAACCAATACTATTTACAAAACATATTAAACCACACAGCTACATTAAAAAGAAAACAGAAAGCAAGAAAGGAGTGTCATCAGCATCCTAAAAGAAGCTTACCTCCTCACAACTAGCAGTCCCTCTAACCCCAAACTAGGCAGATGAACTTATCCAACCACTACAGTCATCTTCCAAGGCCCTGCTTCAGGTGCCCCTGCCTTCCGATATTAGGTAGTGACAACCCAGGAGAGGGCCTTCTCAGTCATCACACCAAAACCCACTCTCTCACCAGAAAGACTCACCTGCCCCATTCTGTTGCCATCTTCCACCAGCATGTGAAAACTTTTTTTTGCTTTGTTTGGTGTTCTCTCAGGGATCCCTCCTTCCTGCCCCAAGTTTTGTTGTTTTATGTATGCGTATTTTACCTTAGTTTTAAGTGTTTTAATGATGTGTTTTAGTGGTGGTTGTGCTTTTGTGTATGCATATTTTTAAGGCCTTGATCAGGTCAGAAAGGAAGATTATAAATTTTATACAATAAATAAATAACTCAGTCATGATTTCTGGTACTACAAGGAGAAAAGAAGCCAAGAAGAATCAGTTTCAGTCCCCCAATCATTCTACAAAGGACACCCCTTGACAACAACAAAAAAGGCAAGTCCAGTCCAAAAACCATTCTAGAAATTATACTAAAGTGGATTTAGAATATCTGTACCATCCGTGATTACCTGATCCCAGGGACCCTCAATCACCTTAGCCAAAAATGGAAAGTTGAAGACTAGTCTATAAATGTGTACTGCTAAGAGCCTTTTTCAGTAAAGGTCTTATAACTGCTTCTTTCAACGGGAAGTACACAACCTATTCCTGATTCAGTCATTACTGCCCAAAATGATAGTATTGGTAATTTCCCCAAGCTTTTCTTTTTAAAAATGAAAGCCAATTCTCAGGGTACTGAATTCTGGATCTAACACTATATTCTACACTTCCCTTACAGTTCTACTAATCGAAGACATATTCTAGTAATACACACTGACCACTCCAAATGGCATCAGTTGCTAAATGAAATATTTTAGAATTTTTTATAAAGTGCAAAGAAAGCACAAAATGCCCTACTTATCTTGGACTGCATGTTATTAAAGTTATACTCAGACCAGACTTGTGAGACTTCAGAGGGAAAAAAGGATATGTCAGGATATTATCCAAAGTAATTTTGTTTTGCTAGCTAAATTTTCCATTTCTTCAAAATGGTGGTGATACCATCGGGAAATAGGAATTGCCCTTGGAAGTTCCGCCACAAATTGCGTGGCATGGACAATGTGGGATTGGCCTGAACTATCTACTGGATAGTGTCACTCCAATGGGGAGGATTTGAAGATGCCATCAAAACCACTCAAGACCATCTTGTTTACAAAAAAGCACTTTATTATTGTTATTGTTGTTATTATCCATGATTTTACTGTTTTATGTGGTTTTATGTATGGGCGCATGCCCCTTGTAAGCCGCCCTGAGCCCGCTTGCGGGGAGGGCGGGGTAAAAATGTCCAAATAAATAAATAAATAAAATTACTTACGCTTTTCTCTTTCTCACCAAGCACATCTTCAGCAACTCATATTACTTACCTGGATCGTATGATGGTGGTGGCGGTGGTGGTAGCTTGCCACCTTCTTTAAGAACCTGATCAACTCCTTTGGCTGCTCGTATAGCTGCTATGAGTTCCTCATGTTTTCGTCTCCAATTTGATGGCTTCTTTGGTGGCTCTGGCTAAGGAGCCAATAAGGAAAAACACACACATTTGTGTTTTGATAAAAATGCAATTCTCAGCTCTGTAACCAATATTACATTAGAACCATTAAATATAAAATCCTGTTGGCACTGTGAGGCTTGTTCTCCTTCAGAAAGAGGATAATACCTACACAAAACATATACTCAATATGGATGTTCGAACACCTGTTGGTAGCAGTAGGGCAGCTTATTTACCTTCAGCTGCTTGCAATCTATTTCAGTGTCTCTGCAGCAATCAGAATCTGACTGCCAGCTGATGAGAGATCAGCCAGAAGATGGCTTTAGATCTCCAGCTGGAGAAGTTTCACTCCGTGCCCAACAAAGTACTGGGGAAGGGGCGGAAATCAAAAGTAGATTTTCAGCTGATTGCAGGGATCCACTGGAAGTTGGACTCTTCTGCTCTCCCAGACTGGAATGTTTGATGTATCCCAGCCTTGATGAGATGCAGCAAGGCAGGGTAGGGGATCAGAAGCCCAGCGGATGCCCTTTGTCTTCTCCCCACCCCAAACTCTCAGCTGCACCTAAAGTGGAGTATTTGGGTGGGGGGAAAAAGGACTGTTCTTTTCTCTCTAACCAGAAAAACACAGCTTGAGCTAAGGAGTGATGTGATCCTGATCTATGCAGTTCAAGCTGGCAATTTGTGAAAGGGGGGGGGGGAGAAGCAATCCATGCCCTCACCCCTATTTAGAATTAGGACTGAGAACAGGACCAGGTCCCCATCGCCCAAGCTTATACCTTGGGATGCAGAGAATAAGAAGCAGATCACTCTTGTTTACCTGTAGACCAAGCTGTCAGCCCATTTTGTCAGTTAAAGAAGAAAAACAAACACTTCTTTGCTCTCCACCCCAAACTGATGCATAGGCTGCAGACAATATGAGCAATCTGTTCATATTCTCTGCAGCCAGGACAACAGCTGCTGCCACCCCCACCCCCCATGAAACTGCTTGGGCTACAGAGAACAAGAGCAGTACTCTCCTTTTCTTTGCTGCCCAAGCTGAAAGTTTGGGAAGGAAGAGAAATGAACCTGATTGCTCCTGTTCTCCATATCCTGAGCATGTCCCTGTGTTCCAGCCTTGTTGGAATAGACAGAGAAGCTCGGGTGGAGGGGAGGAGAACAGAAAGAAAAAATCAGCTGGTACCAGCTGAAAATAGGCTTTTGATCTCTACCTCCACACTTCTCACTAGATCCCTGCAAGGCCTGGGGGGTCAGGAAGATGTTTGGGAGGCAGTTTCTGTTGGGCAGCTATTTGAGTTGTTCATCTGGAGTTGAACAGGTTGGGTGAACAGCTCAGCAGGGTTTGGGACAGCTGAGCAGGCTCACCACAAAATTTACAGCATTCCTAATATTTAGCTCCTAGGCAGGGGAAGCTGTGAGAGCAGCTGTGACAGAAACACAGAAGCAATGCTGCTAATATTTCAACAGACACTACTGATTTTCAAACACAAGATTTTCATGCCTAAGGTAAAAGTGGTTCAGAGAAGTTCAACTGTTCTCAAGTACCATATGCCAGATTAATCACTGCATTCTCCCTGTCTACCTGCCTTATCATCTTCTTGTTGTTTGGACAGGAGATACCATTCTTTGGGAACTTTCATTCATAATTTGATGCATAGTCAGGTGTTATTTAGTAACAGCTAGATAATCCATCATACTAAATCAACCCTTGTGGGTGTAAAAGTAAATAGGTTTCTGACCAATAGTGATCTAAACATAAACCATTTCCTGTGCAATCTGAAAACTGGGTTCAGTTTACGCAAAGTTCTTTTGTGTTTTGTAAACCTTTTCTTGCACAAAGACAAGTAACCTTCTGAGTAGCAACATTGCTTAGAATCAAACAGAAGCTTATTTTTTTCTCTTTGCTGTATTTCAGAAGTTTCTTTGCCACAGAATCTGGGTTCAACAGTAAGTATCAAATATATGAAATACTCACAGTAACGCATGGCCCTGCAATAGATCTTGGCTGCAGCTATTTAAGGAAAAAAGGCCCTTCAGTATGTGCTTCTGAAGAGTCTCATGTAGTATAAAAAGCACTACTTAAATTCAGATATAACATAATAATCCTAAAGGTTTAATACTGAAAAAGAAGTAAAGGTCATGGAAATAAAGAAGTAAAGGTCATGGAAATCAGTGGGAATTACTTTTGAATAAATATGCTTAACATCGGGCTGGCTAATTTTTTACTCATGTATGTCTCATATTTCAAAAACAACATCTTTTTTTCAGTCAGTAAACGGGTTCAAGATATATTTCATAACTGACTATATGAATAAACTTTCACCAAAGCCATAACATGCATGTAACTACATTATCCATGCCTGTCAAATATTGTCATATTCCAGCATTCCTATACCTACCCGTGGTTTTAGAGGTTTTACTGTGGAAATATCAGTTCCCTCTGCTCTCTGTCTGCTGGAGTCAAATGTTTTTCTTTTCCTAGTAGCAGTTTTTTGGCAAATTGGAACATGTTTTTTCTATTAATGGGAAAAAAAAGAAATGCAAGTCCGGATTAAGAATGAGACCCCCCCCTCCCCCACGGTTAAATATCTTCCCTTCGTATTGGGTTTATGCCATCTTGATTTTATATAACTGATAATATTGTTATTGTATTGTATGTATTTTAATGTATTTTATTGACGACTGAATTATTTGATATTGGACATTTTAATTGTATATTTATAAACAGATGTTACCTGCTTTGAGCTGGTCTTTGGGAGAGCAAGCTACAAATTAATTAAATAATAAAAATGATAAAGGAAAATCTGGCAGAATAAATCTGATATATTTGTTCATATAACTTATCACCCCAATTTATTCCGAATAAGCAAGTCTTACAAAATTCATAATAAATAAAAGCATCAACATTTGAATGTATGACTCTGCAGAGTGCAAGAAATTAGAAACAACTTGGTATTAACAATTTCCACTTTTAAAAACATGCTCCCTCTTGCTTGAAGTCAACCAATTTTCTACTCACTAGTGCATTTGGGAAAAAAGTCCTCCCACAGATCTTGCATGGTAACAAATCTTCAGTTTGCACTGTACTTCCATTACCTTAAAAGAAACACAGACTCAAAATTATCCCACATATTATGTCAAAACAATTTTATCATTCAACACTTAACCAGATACATTAGTCTACATTCTTGTTCAATATACCCATAAATGAGTATAACAAACTCTTGTAAGTAGCAATTAATGAAGTGACTTATAGAGAGAGCATGACTATCTTCCTGTAGTCACTTATGAGAAATCTGTGGAACTACAATCCTTGGGAATCTTCGTACTGGTTGGGTTCCTGCCCCTGATTCCCGCACTGAGATTCTATGGCTCTACATAGGTTTCTAACAAAGATAATAAGAAAATAACTGCACTGTTTTGTAAACATTGTTTGGAGTTGAAGGATAAAATTTCCTACATCTTGGGACAGAAAAGAACAACAATGGCCATTTCAAGAAGCAATCTCCCAGTGTACCCAAAATATTAGTCTCGAATACATCCAGAATTACTACATCTGTTTTCAAAACTTACAATTCTAATCCTGATTCATAGGTTAATTTTGGAGTACAAAGCTTTCAATGACATTTTTATCTAGACCAAAACCATATTATATGATCATCTATTCCTATGTTCAAGAGAACAGATTTATCTTCTCAGTATTCAGATCTTTTTAATATCCTTAGGAAATTAAGTGCTTAGGAAATTAACTATATAGCCAACACAAAACTTTGTCTGCAAGTGAATGTCCAAATATTGCATTCATATACATTAACTGACACTTTACACAATTCACATTTTCCCAAGGTACATCTCAAGCAAGGTAAGGTGGTATATTTTGGGAGCCTATGCCTCCCAGCAATGTGTGGGGTCCATTTGGTGCATGGGAAGAGAATGCTCAAGTCTTCCCCTACTCATAAGACAACCTGGGGGGTGCCTTATTTGTCCCTGTGCTCCATGTGTACTTTCAGCCTCTCTTCCGCTGTTGAAGTTCAGGTCTGCCAGAGGTCTGCCAGAGGGCTCCTGGGCATATGGTCCACTTGTCTTCCTGCTGCAGATAACTACAGGGGCCACCATGGCAAGGGGTTTGGTCTCAGCAGATTCATCTGGGTAGTGGCTGGGTCACACCAATAAGCTTCAGTAAAAATTGGCAAGCTCCATTCCCCTATGTGCCAAACAATAAAGTTTGTTCTGTACTTGGGATGGAGGGGAAGTATCATATGGTGGGCCACCAGACCAAACAAACGGCAAGAAAGTAGCTCATCAAGCTCTATTCAAATTTAAGTTGCTGGCAAAAGGTATATAATGAAGTATTAAAGCAACATCACTGAATGGTTCTGTTCCATGCCCTTTCAAATCTATTAAGATTTATTAAAATTAAATTAAATTTCTACCCCGTCCTCCCAGCAGAGGCCGGCTCGGAAGGAACGTAGGAGGAACGTGGAACAGAGCCTCACCAGATGACCTAAGGCATTGAAAGACAGAAGGTAAACTTCAGCCTACCAACGAAACACCTAGTGTTGCTAGGAATCTTGCAAGTATTGCTCAACTGGATAGATTTAAATGAGACCAGCAACATGTAAGAGAACAGACTCATGATGAAATATGAGGCCACAGGTAGTTTAAGTTTACAAAATGGTGAAGTATAAGAATTCTAAGAAAACAAAAAACCCCAGACAGACCCACCCAAGATAGAAATCAGCCAAGTCCTGGTGAATGAGAACAGGCTCATATAGGAAAGTGTCAGGAAGAAATTCTAACTCAAGAAAGGAAGCCTCCTCAGATGAAGCCACTACTAGCACAGTGTGAAACAAAGAAAATTAACCTGAAAAAGAATTTTATGGGGAAAAAATCTGTTATATTAAACACAAGTAAAAGGTTAAATGAGGCCACGAGATAATGCTAAGTAGTCTGTACCCACCCTTCAAAATAACTAAGCAGACATCTTGGATTTTTACCCCTGAAAGACATACTTCCTAGTATCCTACTGTATGATCAATGGAACTGCTTAGTTTGCCTACCTAGTTGGTTAATTTTGATGCTTCATAGTATTAACACTGAAGAAATAAGAAACATGATTTCTTCAAAAGCCTAATGAATCCTAATGACTCTCAGCTGATCTAGAGGCACTTGTTATGTGCTCATGGAAAAATGGTAATAGATAGTATTGTAGAATACACAACAATTGGTGCCCATTGTTGGAACCACAGCAGAACTATATTTCCTTTCAGTGTTCCTATCCTTCCACTATTGCTCTTTGCAGATGCCCAGCTGACTGCAATTGTATTTGCCCAAAACAAATAATCTTGTTGGAAACAGAATAGTTTTTTATTCCCCTCTGTATTTCAGTTGAACAATGGGGGGGTGTCTTGTTCTTCTTCCAAATAATTGGGCAGGAGGTTGGGTGTGGGTGGAGAGACAGTCCTGTTCTTCTTCCAATACTTTCCCCATTACTGATAAAAGATGCATGCTCTTGAACAGAAAATCTGAACAATTACTTTTGCCAGCAGATATCTTTACTTTCTAATTCAAGGATATAGCAGGAAAATTCTAAACTCCAGCTATCTGAAACAATAGTCTTAGAAAATAGTCTAGTTTCACTTTAGGTCAGTGCATACCCTAAAGCAATGCTTTAGTTCTCTTTATAGTTTCTATAATAATATCAACAATACTTCCCTCTAGCTTAAGTGTCTTCAGTAGAAACTAAGTTATTTGGGCTCCCCCCCCCCCCCCGAGATCTAAGGAGGCTTACAACAGTACAAAAATTACTAATAACAGAAAAATGTACGATGTAAATAAGCAAAAATAAATAGCTATATCTTGGGTCAGCCCGGGATTCAGTGGGCCTGCTCGTCCAAGGCCATGAGCTGGGGCTAAGAGCCATGGGCTTGTGCCTCTGGCCAGGCCTGACCTGTATACCTGAAGCAAGCCAAAGAACATTTTAAACTATTATACCAGGCAGCAGTCCCTTTCAGTATGCCTTCCTTGGTCACCAACTGATTACACAGTAGAATCTTACTCTACAACTGGCATCACAGAAGTACTCGTCCAGTACGCTCACAATTAATGGCCTATCTTCCACTATCCCTTAAATTGTTTTCAACTACAGTAACTACAGTTTAACACAGGCCTGAGAAAATCTAGTCCAAATCTAGGAGTCACTTCCAAACCTCAGGACCCAGTAGAAGAGAAGCGATTGGATTTACACCCTGCCCTTCACTACCCAAAGGAGTCTCAGAGTGGCTTACAATCTCCTTTCCCTTCCCCTCCCCACAACAGACACCCTGTGAGGTAGGTGGGGTTGAGGGAGCTCTTTTGAGAACCACTCATGAGAGAACTTGTAACTGACCAAGGTCACACCAGCAGCTGCATGTAGATGTACAGTACAAATATGAACTCCTTACTCAAAATATACTGATACATATATTAGATGTATATTCGACAAGGCAAAATAGCAATAGCGGAAACAGTAGCACAAGGTAATGCTGGAACAGGCAGGCTGAGGCTACCCTGGGTTGGAGAGCTGCCTGGTCTTACTTCTCTGTTCTTCTACTCATCTCCTCTTTGGCAGTTGGGAAAGCTGATCATGTTGCTTTCTCCAAAGTCCCAACTAACCATGACTACGACAGCACTACTTTCCCCACATTCTTCTCTGACCTCCTGACACTTGGTCCTGAGCTGCAGCAAAAAACATCACCTTCCCCCCTCAAAGTTGGAGCTTAGCCAACTGTACTTGGAAACAAAGATGTTTTTGAGCATCAAAAGAGTATAGCTGTTTCAGAGGGTAGCTGTGCTGGTCTACAGCGGAACAGCTAGATTCAAGACCAGTAGCAGAGACCAACAAGATGCACATCTGACGAAGTGAGCTTGGACCCTTGCAAGCTTATATCCTACATCTTGTTGGTCTCTAAGATGCTACGGTGTTCCATGGTTTAACATGGAAAAGAAAACATAACAGAAACAGGAGACGAGACCAACAGAAAAACATTGTTCAAGCTTGTAATCTCACCAGTCAGAGAAAAGAAATGAACAAATCAGGGGGCAGACAAGGAGAAAGATTCTTTTCTGGTGCTATTTTTAGTACCAAATAAGAGTGTAGACCTTATTATTCATCCCAAACTTGTACACTCAACACCTAATGTCATGTGCCTTGCACCCTCTCTCTCACACAGCAAAAATCTAGCAATTGTGTTTGCCTGGTCTGAATGCTTTTTGCAACCAAACAGAAAGCAGCAACACCGGAAAAGTCTTTATCATTTACTAGTCAATTAAAAATATTGCTTTTACCCTCCCCTTTAGTTAAACCAGTCAGATATACTAGAAAAATCTGGTACTTCATTAAAGTGAAATATTTTTTTTAAATGCTCTCAAAAGCATTTTTTTTTTTGCTAGACTCATTAGGGTTGCCAGGTCCCTCCTGGCAACTGACAGTGGATGGGGAGGACTTACCAGGAGAAAGAGGAAGGCCCAGGCCACATCATCAGCATCGCACAGTTAGTGACATCATCACACTACAACATCACTGCAGCACTATGGTACCTGGGCAACAACTTTATACTAAAATTGGCCTCTACCACAGAGTTTTTGCCCAAATACCAGACTATGTTCTGGATGTTGCTGGCATGATGATGTAAATTCCTGTGCAATGCCAGTGACATGGCCTTTCTCCTGGTAAGTCCCCCCTGCCAGCCAGCTGATCAGCAGTGGGGGGTGGAGCCTGGCAGCAGAGAACCCCTGCTTTCATGGGGGGGGGGGGGCTGGCAACACCCCCATGTTCCTCACAGTAAACTAAGCTTTACATTTACCTCTTAAAACATGTTAATAACATGCAGAGTATCATGTCTCTAGGGAGTAAAGTAAAATGAGCCAAGACATTAGAACAGCAACTTTGGCAGTTGGGAAAGCTGATCATGTTGCTTTCTCCAAAGTCCCAACTAACCATGACTACAACAGCACTACTTTCCCCACATTCTTCTCTGACCTCCTGACACTTGGTCCTGAGCTGCAGCAAAAAACATCACCTTCCCCCCTCAAAGTTGGAGCTTAGCCAACTGTAC